ATATGTGTATGTATGTATAGCCCAGACCCTGGAATGCATAGTAATCCTATACAATCAGCCTCCCAAGTGCTGGGAGTATAGGTATAAGCCACCATGCCACCCACAGTATTAGGCCTTTGACATACTTTGGGGGGGGTTGTTTGGTTTTTTGGCATTTGGGTTTTTGAGGTTTTTGAGACAGGGTCTCCCTATAACCTAAGCTGGCCTAGAACTCCCTATGTAGACCAGGCTGACCTTGAACTCACAGAGATCTGCCTGCCTCTGTTTTCTGAGCACTGGATTTAAAGGTGTGCACCACCACCACACCCGGCTTCTATTTCCAGTTTGTTTGTTTTTGTTTTGTTTTTTGGTTTTTTTTTTTTTTTTTTTTTTTTTTTGGTTTTTTTTTTTTTTTTTTTGTCTTTTTGAGATAAGGTGTAGCCGCAGCTGGCCTGGATTTGCTAATGGAGACCAGGATGGCCTTGAACTCAGAGATCCACCTGCCTCTGCCTCCTGAATGCTGGGATTAAAGGCTTGTGCCACCACACTATTTCCAGTTCTTAATGTTTGGGTATTGTTGCTTTGTTGTTGTTTTGGTATACTAGGGCTTGAACACAGGGCCTTGCACACATTAAGCAATCATACTTACCACTGAGCTATACCCTCAGCTATTTTATTCAGTTCTCATTGCTGTGGTAATGACCTGAGAGAACAATTTAGGGGAGGAAGGATTTATTTTGGCTCACAGTTTCAGAGGTTTGAGTCCGTTGTGTTGGCTCCATTGTTTCTGGGTTGTAGTGAGGCAGAGCATCATTATGGAGAGAATGTAGAAGAAGAAATTTTGTCACCTCATTGCAGCCAAGAAGCAGAGAGAAAGAAAGGGACTGGGGACCAAATGGAGCTTTTGGTATCCTGCCCCCCATGACTTATTTCATTGAAGTAGGCACCACCTCCAAAATAATGCCACCAGCCAGAGACCAAGTCTTCAAATACACATGAGGGACATTTCACATTCAAACCATAACATTCCATCCCTGGCCCCCAAAGGCTCATGGCCATCTCATACTGCAAAATACATTTATTCTAACTCTGAGAGCCTCCATTGTTCAAAAATTCAATTTCAAAGACCCCTCTGAGAGTCAAGGCAAATATTTTAAGATGCAATGGCACAAAGTAAAGATTCACATTCTTAAAGGGGTGGGAGATTAGCAAGGAAGGATCAGACCAAAGCAAAACTGAAAGCCAAAGAAGCAAACGCTAAATCCTACAGCACTATGTCCAGTATCAGGCATACAGCGTCATGATCGAAGCAAAAGCCTGTTTGTAGCCCACATGGCCTCTCTCCCAGGATGGCTCCATTCAGTGCCTGCAGCTTTCCCCAGCAAACCTTCCACATACCTGGCGTTCCTAATGTCCTGATAGCTCCATTGTGGCTTAGGTTTTTCCCTCACAGCCTCATGCAACGCTGTCTCAAGAGCTACCTGGAGAGATCTTGATATTGTCCCACATTGTCTGACTTCCCAGGCCTTCCTTTAAAATCTTGGTGAAGACTTCCATGTCTCCATAAGTTATGCTTTAGTCATACTTGAAATGTTAACAACGTGGATTTTCATTTATTTATTTATTGACTATTTGAGACAGGGGTTTGCTATGTAGCTCAGACTGGCCATGAACTTGCTATGTAGCCTGGGCTGGCCTCAGAATTCCTCCTCAGCCTCCTGAGTGCTAGGTTACTCATCTGCACCACTACACCCAGCAGGCAGCTTGCTTTTTTAAAGGAACAAGCTAAAAAAGGCAGGAAGATTAAGAGTGCCATCAAGACAGGACAGAGGCATAGCCCTTTGAAATTGTTTTAGTCTCCTTGGGCTACTAGAATAAAATATCCCAAGCTGAGTGGATTCAGTGACAGAAATTTATTGTCTCACAATTCAGGAGGCTAGAAATTCACAATCAAGGTGTTGGCTGGCCATGCTTTCTTTGAAGAATTTATGGGAGGAGCTGTGCCAAGTCTTTCTCTTTGCTTCCAGCTTAACCAACAATTCTTACAGACTCATCACTCCAAACTCTACACTCCAACATTCTTTGTGTTTTTCTATCGCTGTGTCATCACACTTAATTTTCCTCTGTGTCTGCATCCATCTCTGTCTCTATCCACAAATAATGCCACATTCATAGGTATTACAGATACTTCAGCAACTCCTTTGAGAAAATACAGTTGAGCCCAGAAAAATAAATTTTGTGACATTGATCACTTTTGCTCTATTCTTTTCATTAAAAGCAAACTATTAGGTCTAGTCCATTTACAGAGAAATGATTCACAAAGGAATAAACATCACAGGGAATGGATCTACACCACTGGAGCCATGGCAGAGCAGCCCAGCCTGTGGCCTGCAGTGATGCTCATGACACAATGACACAGTGAAGAAATTCATAATTAAGATTTATGCTCAGATGATTAGGGTAACTGGGACTATCTGGGGGCAAGAGTTTCATGTGGTGAATTTTATGTAGCAAATTTCAAAGTCATTTTGCCTTAAGGCAAGTAATATTACTCCAGAAACTTTCTCTGGACTCTGTGAAAAGTAAACAAAGATATTTAGGAGATCTATCCAGTTGGGATAGATCTCAATTGGGAGCTCTATCTCTAAATCTTCAGAGAGGACCAGAACCTAATGAAGTGGTCAGAATTCATAGCTATTATCCATTTTTATGGAGCTCAGCAGTAGAATTTAGGAGTCTAATTAATCTTTGTTGACTCAGTTGAGTCATAGATTTCACCATTTGGAAAATGTGGAATTCCAGTGTATACCCTAAGAATCTTGTAAGGAACAGTGCTGAGGCCATACTGACAGGCCTCTGCTTTCAAGAGGTCAATGGAGGATGACAGCTAATAAGCCAATGTTTTTCTATTCCTACCTCATTGAAGGCAGGTAATGATTGCTAGAATGCCCGTTAAGGTCAGAATTGTGGAGAGATTACATGTTAGAACATGCATGTGTATAATATACCCACTCACAAACATATATTTATGTACCCATTCACACAGACCTATGTATGTCTATATAACTATTGTATGCATATACATAAATTACTTATATATATATAAAATTATTATTTGTGGTCTGTATATAGTTGATAATTAGGACAAAAGTATTCATCAGAGATAAATGACTTGACTAAACTACATACATTTATAGCTACATGAATAAACTTATATATTTATAGTTTGTATATTTATACTGTAGAATACTATGCATAAGTTCAAAGAAATTAGGTGGCTTGGTGTGGTTGAATATGCTTGTAACCCAACACTCAGAAAATTGAGAGACAATGACCACAAGGTCAAGGCCAGCCTGGGATACATAGCATGTGTCTCTATAATGACAAAAAACAAACCCCACCCAAAAAAACTCAAAATAATTGGATCAGTTACGTAAACACAATATGGAAAAATATTACATACAGCAATTAACTGATAAAATCAAGTTGCAAAGTAACATGTACATGTAATAGCATAAATACACTACATGCAAAAGACGTGTAACTATGTACACATAAAGAAAAAATACTAAAAGGGATGTAAACCCAATAGTGATGACCTCTCAGGACAGGTAGGCCTTAGAGGGTGCAGGTTTGAAGTTACTCGTTACTTTGCTTGCTTATTATGGGACAGGGTCTCAATATGCAGCACAGGCTGGCCTGGAACTTGGAGCAATCCCTCTGCCTCAGCCTCCAGAACAGAGTACAGACCTTCACCACCACATGCTTCAGAGTGCTTTTCACTTCTTACTCTTCTGTTTATAGTGCTTTTAATTTTTACTCTGTTTTTGGAATCTTAAAGTGTGTAGTATTTATAGAATGGTGTCTGATTTAAATTATTTTAATTTTTCATCATTGTGTTCCCATGAAAACATAATAATAATAATAATAATAATAATTAATATGTTAATAACAGGAAAAGCTGCCTGCATTGACAAGTTATGTATCACACCGGAAGAGCTGGTTTCTCGCCTGGGAGAATTTGGACAGTTTTGCCCTGTCAGCCTGGCAGAATCCTATGAATTACTTGATTGTTCTGTAACTGACAGCTTGGAATTTGCAGCAGAGTTCAGGGGGCACTATTATAAAATGAGTTCTCAGGAAAAACTAAATGTAAGTTTGTTCCTCACTCCAAGTATTTACTAAGGAAAGAAAATGCATTGTTTTTGAACTTCATCAAATAAACAGATTGAGTACACCTGGGGGTGCTCAGAAACTTGGGATCAGGAACCCCAGAATTGGAACCTGACTTTGAGATCAGTGAGAAACTCAAAGAATAGCCCTGAGACTGGACCCCAGGATGTATTTAGAAACAGAAAAGCCATTTCCGGTCAGTGAGGGGCCTCAGGCAGTCTATCAGTTAGGGAAGGCAGTGGTGGGTCACTGCTCACCATCTTGCTGATAGAGGAGATGCAAAAAAGCATCAGGGCTTAACCTACAGACCGACAGGGGATTTCACTCAAGGGCTACAGGAGTAAAGCCCCAGTCAGTAGGAATGAAGTCAGAACTTGACTAATGCCTCCCGTACTTCAAAATATTATCACTAGAATTTCCCAGATACTGTATCCAGTTACCCTCAGCTTCACTGTATTGTTTAGGGATGATGAAAGGAAAAAACTCCATACATGTTCAGGTCAGAATCAAATTTTTTCTTGGAATATATTCAATCTGAATCTGAGGATGTGGAAGCCACAGGTTTAGAGCATGAACTGTTTATGTCCCTGGATTTGGTACGTCAGTTCTGATTTTTGATGTCCATGACTTGATAAAACGGTTTGTAACTTTAGACAATAACAAAAACTGATATGAACATTTTGTTTTCTTCTGAAGAATGAGAATTTGTACTTCTTTATTGGTGGCAGTATTTGCTTCTTCCTGCTTATATTGTGGTAGTCATAGAATTTTTAAAGCAGAAGTCATAGCTGGGCACAGTGGCACACACCTATAATCCCAGCATTTAAGAGGCAGACACAGGCGAATCTGTGAGTTCAAGGCTAGCCTCATCTACATATCAAGTTCCAAGCCAGCCAGGGCTACTTAGTGACATCCTGTCTCATGTTAAATATGATCTAGCCCACCTTCTCCATCTTACAGAGTGATTACCAATACTAGAGAACTTACCGCTGAAGAGCACAGACAGGCTGGCAGGTAGTCGGGGTCTCTCCAGTCCCTATTGAGTATGATCTTGAAAATATTATATTTTTGTACAAATGAATGAAAATATCTTTGATGTGACCGTTTGGGATTATTACCCTAAGGAACTATGGTAACTTCTCCCAGCTGACCGAAAGATAGAGCATTGCTAATGAAAGGGGAAAAGGAACAGGAGAGCCTCCACCAGCTTTTTGAGTTGTGTATCCTTGCTGCTGTACCCCTTTTCTTAACAGAAATTTCTGAAGAATCCAGAGCTGTATGTGCCTCCCTTGGCACCTCATCCACTCCCACCTGCTGACATGATCCCCAAAAGGCTGACACTGTCAGAGCTAAAGAGTCAATTCCCGAAGTGTGCTGAGCTCCAGGGCTACTGTCCAGTGACCTACCAGGACGGACATCAAAGGCAAGTCCTCACACTAATACAAGAATAGAACCATGTTCCTGTTCAGAGCAAGTGTCCATGTAACAGTCTTTTAAATTTTTTATATTTTTATTTTTACTTTTGGACTTTTTGAAACAAGGCCTCCCTGTCACCCCAGTTGGCCTAGAACTCACTATGTAGATCAGGCTGGCCTCGATCTTACAGATATCCACCTGCCTCTGCCTCCCGAGTTCTGGGATTAAAGGTGTACCCCACCATGCCCTTTTATTTTTTAAAGATTTGTTTTTATTTTCATTTATATGTATATATATACATCTGTGTGAGTGTATGCAATATCCATGTGGGTGCTCATAGAGGCCAGAACAGGATGTTGAGTCTCCTGGAGCTGGAATTACAGGAGGTTGTGAGTCACCTGACATGGGTGCCGGAATCCAAACTCATTCATCAGGACAAGTAGCAAGTGCTCTTAACTGCTGAGCCACCTCTCCAGCCCGGGTGGAACAGTCTTAACATGACAGTTATTTGAGGAAATGTTCTCTTTCTTCCTTGAGCTGCACAAATGGAAAAATAAAACTTTTCTGACATTTTATTTATACAATACTGTAAATTAAATACACAATAGGTTGGTTTTTGTTTTGTTTTGTTTTTGATCTTTCAGATATGAAGCCTTAGTACCTGGTAACATCAAGTATGCTGCAGAGTATCGTAATCGTATTTATATTTGTGAGAATGAAGAAAAACTCCAGAAATTTTTGAGGTGAGATTATTCACTGTCATAAATATTTATAAAATATCTCTGTGTACACACACACACACACACACACACACACACACACACAGACATAAAGTTGTGAATTAGGATTTTTTTCTGTCCCCAAATTTGAGGCTCCAGGATGTAGGATAGATTGTAAATAGCCTAAGCTGCCCTAAGGGTGGTGAAGGGCCTAGCACACTCTGCCATAACTGAATTGTGAGGACCAAGAATGAAGTGGATCAAGGGCCAGAGTCCGAGCAGAGACTTACCAGCAGCCTGGCCCTGGAGATCCAGGAACTATAAGAATTCAGCGTGGATGGATTTGACAAGAATAAAGCAGAAGTGGGGCTAGAGGAGGTGCGTAGAGCAGAGTGCAGGTCAAAAACCCACCAAATAGCGTTTGGACTTGACCCTAGGGGTCATCAAGGATAATACTGCTTGGTTTTAAGCTAGGTCGTAGTAGAATCAAATTTGCTTAGGAGTAAGCCGCCCTAAGCAGGAATGTTTAGTTTGAAACCAAGAATGCCACTTATAGGCTGGTAGAGTAATCCTGAACATGTTCACCCTGAAAATGTCCTTTCTGCCCCCCCCCCAAACTCGTGCAGACTAGTGCACAAATGTCAGAGGAGCTTATGAGGAGATTGAGAAAGAAAAACCACAGAGTTGAAAAGGGAGGCAGGATGAGAGACTGGGGTAGAGGAGACAGAACCTCTGGGAAGCTCTGGGAGGTCAGCCCAGATGAGGACTGAAAGTCCCGGAAGACTGAGGTTGTGCCACTGGGGGTCCTGGCAAGCATAGCTGAGTAAAGTGTGAATGAGGGACCAAGACCTGTCTGTGGTCCACAGATTAGGGAGCTGACTGCAGCAGCCCGGAAGAAGGAGCCGAGGGAGAGAGTTTCGATGTGAAACAATAGAAACGGGGCACTGCTGCAAATGGCGCACCACAACGGGGCAAACGCTGCTCATCTGCCAGATGCTGCTGGTTTCCCAAGAAGCCAGAAACCAAATTTCTTTAAACATTCACTACTGATTCCAAGTTAAAAATAAAATGCCAAAAAAATAAAAAGAATTTTTATTGGATCAAATACCATGTGCAGACAGAACCTGTGCCATAGCTTGCCATTTCTAGTGAGGCTCATGTTTCAACAAGTTTAATTGTAAAAAGATGAGAGACGTTAATTCTGGAAGGGCTGAAGATTGAAGGCACAATGGTGGATTTTCTTTCGTTGTTAGTTTTCTTGGTTTTGTTTTTTCTTTCTTTTTTTTCTGTATTTGAGATGAAGTCTCACTCTGTAGCTCAGGCTAGCCTGGAATACGCTATGTAGCCCAGGTTGGCCTGCAGCTTCAGGCTATCCTGTCTCTGCCTCCTGACTGCTGGGATTACACGGTTACCACACTCAGCTTTTTGTTTGTTTGTTTGTTTAATGGGGGAATTGTGAGCATGTTTAAATGCAGGTGCATGAGAAGAATACAAAAAGAAAGTGCCGAAGACTTGAGAGAGAGAGAGAGAGAGAGAGAGAGAGAGAGACAGAGACAGAGAGACAGAGACAGAGACAGAGACAGAGACAGAATGAGAGAGAGAGATGTTACATTGAGAAGCCTGACGAGAGAGTGCAGTAGGAGTCAGAGTGTGGGAGGGGGGACTGTTCTTAGATGGAAGGGGCCACTACTGGAGAAGAGAACCCTGTATCAGGCTCTGTTGTGACCAGCATCTAAGGTAGAGGGCTGCATCCTGCTGGTTTCCACCCTGGCACAACAGAGCCTCTGTCTTGGGAATGAAGGTGACACTCACAGAATTCAAATTTTGAGAAGCGTGAAGAAAGATTTATATAGTTGCTGTGAAAAATAAGAAATCTGAGAATAGATGAGCGAGGCTGGGGACCCATCACCAGGCATAGTGACTCGTGCTTATAATCTCAGTACTAAGGAGCTGGAAGCAGAGGAGCCAGCCTGGGCTGCATGAGACCCTGTGCCGAATCACAAAACAGAAGAGACACCTAGGATCCCTAGTCTTCCCTCTTGCATAATTTCCTCCATTGAATAAATACTTAATGAGCTTTTTCTTGTATGTAAACCTTGTCTCTGTATATAAATCTGTGTATATCATTCTGTGCACAAGATGAGTAGATTGTGAGCGTGCAGCTAATGAACTTTGTGTTCTTAGGTTGCCGCTGCAATACTGGGACCAGAAGCTTGCACATAAACTTCCCCCGCTAAAGGAACCGATGCACCTTACTAGTCTCCCTTTGCCTGGCTATCTGGAACAGGTTCTGTTGCATGGCTTTCTCTGATTCATGTTGTAAGAATACAGTGACCTTTTCTTTCTAACAATAATTTTCACTTTGGTAACAGTGAAGTTCAAGATAGAGTTTTCTGTTTTGAAATTACACCGCTCTTCACCTACTTTATTTATGGGTAGTTGTTAAAATAAAATGTGTGAAAAGCCCCCACTCCTATTACTAATGCCTAAGTATCTTCCCCAAAGTTAAGAGAGAATAGGTTGTCATAAAATTGTCTATAGGCAAAACTTTATATATATATATATATATATATATTTGCTTAGTTCCTATTTTTTAATGTCAGTGTATAATTTTTGTTTTATAATTTTGAAATGTACAGTACCCTTGCAAAGACTGACACAGTTCTCAAAGGAGTTAAGTGGCAGTACCTGGACAGATGAACTCCAAAACCCATGTTCTGCCCCAAATTCAGTCTAACCTGTCTATTCAAGTCATATCTTACTCATCCAGATACAATTATTTTTTAAAGTAGTAAAATTTATCACTAGCCAATTATTAATTTTAAGTTGTAAAAATTTTTTTGGAATTATTATTTCTCTGTGTGTGCATAATAGGCGGTGGTGTGTGTAGGCCAAGAGTGTGTGCGGAGGTTAGAGGACAACTTTGTGGCGTTGGTTCTCTCCTTCCAACTTTATGTGGATTCCAGCGATCAAACTCAGGTCACCAGGCTTTCACAGAAACTGCCTTTACCCACTGAGCTACTTGCTAGCCTCTGAAAGCTAACTTTTTAATCTGCAAAATAAATGTCTAGGGTATAATTTCGTAGCTATGTCACAAGTTTTTAACCCCTATGTCTTTTTAAATTTACCTAGAAAGTTAGCTTTCAGTGGCATAGACCTGGGCTACACAGAAAGACCCTGTCTCAAAAAAAGAAAGTTAGAAAGAAAAAAGGTGGAGGAAGAAAGAAAAGAAAGTCAGTCTTACATATACCCAAATGCCAGGCAAGCTCATCCAGCAAGGATATTGTCATAAAGGCCTTATTTATCAAGAGGAGTCCTTAACCCTTTCAGCTCCAGGATCTTAACTGTAATGGCACCTCTGGTCTCTGGAATTCTTGTCATGTGGCCAAAGATCCCCAGAGTGGGAGACAGACTGACCAGCTCTGAGAATGCAAACAGAGATGAGTCAAGACCACTCAAAGCCCTGTGACCCCTTCTTTCTTTTTAAATATTATGTCATGGAAATGCTGAACATATAAAAATAGAGACCACTACTCAAAGAAGCTAAGGCATGCAGCCATCACCCAGCTGGTGCTAGGCCAATTTACATTTCATTTTTACTAATCAAATGTAGTTTGTGCTTCTTTCCTGTTGGCTAGGGGGTCATCTAGTCATCTTTATAAGCCCCAATCCCTGGAAGGCTATTTGAGGAAAAAAATAAGGCCTTTATCTATCTGCATTAAGAAAAGAACATCAACTCAAATATTCACTGATTTGAACTATTCCCTTCCTGCAGGGTACTGCAACTTCCCTAATCAAAGCAATGAATGCAGCAGGATGCTTGAAGCCCAAATTCCCCTTCCTGAGTGTGAGAAGATCTGTACTCCTTTATATAGCATTTCATCTCAAAGGTATGCCTTTTTAGTACTATGCCACTCTGAAGTAGCCTAACATCAGTTGTAGTGTGTGTGACAAATAGGATTGTTGAGCTGGGTTGATTGTTTGATTGAATGTGGGGCAACTTAAATACAAGGCAAATATCTTTATGAAAATATCAAAACCAAATTTCCAGCTTTAAAAGCAAGGACTATAGGCTGTACCTAGTGGCATAGGTGTGTAATCCCAGCTACCCAGGAGGCTAGGGAGGCAATAGCAAGTTCAAGGTCTGCTCTAGTTTAGCCTAGGCAACTTAGCGAGACCCTGTCTCAAAAGTAAACTTTTTTTTAAAAGAGTGGGGATGGGGATATAGCTCAGTGGTAAAGAACTTGCCTAGCATGTATGAGGCCCTAGGTTCAATCCCTAGCACTGTGAAAAAATGAATAAAATAAAATCAGAGACTAGAAATAATATAGTTAGCACTCAACAATCCATGCCCTAGAGAAAGGTGAATACAGATAATTATGGTCTAAAATAAGAGTTCTCTAATCTTATTTGGGAAGCAGCTTCTCTGTAGTGGTGCATTCTAGTCACACACCTAATTCTTTCTCTTTAATTTAATGACTTACTAACCTATCAGAAAACATTTAAAGCTCTGTGAAATTTTCTGCAGCATTTAACCCCAAAGGCTCTGAATATTCAAGAAAGAAGTATAAGAAGAAAATGGAGCAGTTTGTGGAGAGATGTGAACTCATAACATACCTGGCTACCAAGATGACCAGAAAATATAAAGAACCTCAGTTTAGAGCTATTGACTTTGATCATAAGTTACAGATATTTTTATCCCTCAGAAACATAGACCCAGTGAATGGATAGTTGACTTAGGGTACCACAATGCAAATATCAAGCATTCCATCCAAGGGATAGAAGTGCATTTCCCTCCTGCTTGAGGTTGCCTGGTTACCAGGCCTCAGGTGAACTGGGAGGCCTACCATTCAGAAAGAGCACCCTCTATATGCGAAAGTGTTGATATAGTTTTCAAGTGCATTGCCTTTTTATTCATTTTGATGCTTTAACAAAATATGCATTTCATTTAGGATATTTAAATAACTTGATCTGTTTCCCTTTTAAGTGTTTTCAGTAGAAAATTAGTCTCTGTTAAAGAAAATTACTCATTAAATATAATAAAGCTTCAAGAAACAAAACTAACAGAAATCTTGCTCATAATCTTTACATAAGGAACTATTTGTAAATTTTGTGAACATAAGACACTGTCATTTTTCCCAACAAAATAATTTTGTGGTAACTAACTAGCTGCCGCTTTTCTTTCTTAAGTATTCACTGACACATGGTTTATATATCGTTTTATAATTAGAAATCACTCAGAGTTCTAAGAAAGAAGAAATCCATTCTTTTATGACATTTGTCAAAAAGTATAAGTCAGAAAAAATGACGCTGACTTATACTTTTTGACAGATCTGACTTCAACTCTAGGCAATATCTATGCCTTAAATTGAATAAAAATATGAAAGACAAAAAGTTAGAGGAACACTTGACTAAGTTGAATTTGAATGAGTTTTAAAAATAAGATCAATTTTTCTAGCAGCAGTATAAAATATCTAGAATGATAAACAGTAAAACTGGCTTTCTGAAAATTTAAATATGGGAGCTGAAGAGATGGGTTAGCAATTAGGAGCACAGGTTGCTCTTACAGCACCCACATCAGGCAGCTCATAACTTCCTGTAACTCCAGCTCCAGGGAATCTGTGCCCTGTTCTGGCCTCTGCAAACATCCAACCCCACATACACTTAATTAAAAATAATAAAATAAATCTTTTTAAAAATGTGTCTGTCCATTGGCTGTGTAACCTTAAGCAAATCTCAAATTCAGAGTCTTGGTTTCTTAATCTCTAAAGTGAGTGGTTTAATTTTTTTGATCCCTATAATTTCAATATTTCTAATTAAAACCCAAATTATATATATCTTTTGTATGATGTATTTCATAAAAAAGTTTTTTAAATAATAGCTAGAATCTGGGACTAGGGACATAACTCCATTGGTGGAGTCCTTGTCTAGCATGCAGTAGGCTCCATCCCCAGTTCCACATATTAAAACCAGGTATGTTGGCACATATATGTGATCACTTGGGAAGTGGAGACAGGAAGATCAGAAGTTCAAGGTCACCCTCAGCCACATAGCAACATAGCAAGTTAAGAGCCAGCCTGGGCTACATGAGTCCCTGTTTCAAAAAAAAAAAAAAAAGGTAGAAGCCTATTATCGAAGTTAGGATAATTCCCTGCAGCCTTTTAGACAACTTGGAATTAACTACAAAGTTTTGCTAGAGATTTAAGTACCCACTCATTCCATTCAAGTTCAGTACGTTCTTTTTTTTTTAGACAGGGTCTCCCTGTAGCCCCAGCTAGCCTGAAAGTCACTATGTAGACCAGGTTGAAATCTACCTTGTCTCTGCCTCCCAAGTGCTAGTATTAAAAGCATGTGCCACCCTGCACTCATCCACTATCTTAATAGTTATAATTTGCTATCTTCCCACTACTAGATTACATTTTACTGGCTTTTTCATTCCTTGCAAGATTTCAGCATCCCCTGATCTCTTCAGCCTAGGTATAACAGTTTCCTTTAGCAATTAAGCACTCTACTTTTTGAAGGGCAGCAGCTACTGCAGAATGTCTCTAAGTATTTCTTGGGGCCTCCAAGAAGTACCTCACATGCTTCAGAGCACACCCATACCCTCTGGACATCACCCACCTGGGCATCATATTCTCTAATTCGGCTTCTACTAGGTCTCACTGAACCCATGGTTGGAGTTGTTCCAAAAGAAACAGCAGGAACATTCATTCCCTCGGCAGTGCCTCAAGCCATCCCAGATGGAGCCAGTTTGGATTCCAAAGAAAGAAGCACCAAATGCCATGGTGATGGTCCAAACATTTGTTAAGAGAACTTACAGAAGTGATAATGGGACAAGGGATGCTCTACAGAAGTGTGTACGCATTGAGGGGATCAGATATAAGTTTATATGAAGGTGTAAGGAGTTTGGCTTAGGGTTGGGTGAATTTCAGGGTTTAGAGCAAATACCTAAACAACTTTACAGTGTTAGGCTGGTGTTCAATTCTGCCGGGGAAATGTGCTGCTGGACCAATCACAGAGTTAAGGCACTCTGTATTTCTCTTTGGGGACAGAGAAAAAAGTAGGGGGACGTGGGAGATCCTGTATACAGCTTCTCTATAAGATTTCCATGATCCCAAAGATATTGTCTTGTGAGTTTTACACCTCAGATGCCACCGTTTTGGAGCTGCTGAGCACAGAAGTGAGCCAAATGCCCCCTCTCTTCTTAATAAGAGGAAAGTCCCTGAGCAGAGCCAGGGGGCCAAATGTCACACTTCCCTTTTTGTATCCCTCTCTACAAGGTTGTATCCTCTGAGTGAATCAACAATGTGTAGGGGATAAGAACAGTAGGGTACCGAATTTCCAAAAATAGGTTATAGCTCTTGAGAGGGCGGGTCCCTGACACTCAGGTGCAAATGCAGTTGTTTACATGCGGGGGTTTATTTAAAAGAGCTGCAGACAGGGCTACCACATCCAGACTATTCACGACGACGTGTCAGATAGTCACTACTTAACATGCATCATCTTATCAAATTCCTACACACTACATTTAAATTTTATTTTAGTTTTACTTTATGTGCATGCATTTTGCATATGTGCCTGGTGCCCATGGAGGCCAGAAGAGGGAGTATTATATAGGATTGCCCTCTGACACACAGATGATTCCCAAACTTGGTTGTTCCTGCTTGCCTAACTTCATCACAGCTGAGCTTGTTAACTCTTTACATCCCAACAAGGAAGATAGGGGCAGGAAGAGTCTCTCTCCTGAGAGTTCAGAGTTCAGGCACACCTCCTAAGCAACCAGTTCTTCCCTAGTTGCACATGGACTGGGGGAGGGGTTAAGGGTATATAGGCTGGGGAAGCTTAGAGGAGGCTCTCTTGGCATTTTATGAAGCTGGGGGGAAGCCACCATCCGTGCTTGGATGAAGACTTTCCAGTACGGCCTTAGGAGGAGAGCACTCACACTTCTGTAAGCAAACCCAATAAACTCACAAAAGAAAAAATGCAACTAGTGACCAACATGTACAATCACGTTTGATCTCCCTGTTAAGATTATAGCTATGGATGCTTTTCTGTCATTTTGGCGGGGGCAGAGGTTGTTTCTACTTTTATAAAGGAGACCTGGGCAAAGAAAGATTCATCTTCAAAGCTTGAGACTCCCTATTTCAGGGATGGTTCCTAAGAATTCTTAGGAGAGGCAACATCTGAATTAAATAACCCATCAGAATCAAGACAGGTAAAATTGTGGGGGGGGGGTGTCAAAATAGAGATTTTAACCAGGAAGAGAAAGGTATCCTGAGGATCAGTATTCATCAACTTGTATGTCAGGCATGCTGAGGACTGCTTAGTACCTGAGCAAATGTATATCAGGAATATTCTCAAGGGCTCTACCAGTCTACAATAGTATTTTTAAGGTAGATATATCCTACTTAGGTGAAATGCAAGAGATGGGGGCCTGGAAGGAGGGTAATACCGAGTTAGTGCAAAGGAGGAGGACAAGGAGAAAGAAGAAAAGCAAGAGGAGGAGGAGGAGGAGGAACAGTGGGAGGAGGAGGAAGAGGGAACTGAAGAGGGGGAGGGGGAGGGGAGGGGGAGGAAAAGAAGGTCTATAAAGATGCCCTAGTGCCACTGAAGAGTGGTTATTCTCCTTGTGTTGCTCTCCGTTTCTGTTACTCTATGGTTTCTTTCAGCAGTGTGGTTTCAGATGCCTTCATTATGAAAAAGGACTTCCACCAGGCTTTACTTGCCAACTGATGATGACCCTTTCCTTCCTCCAATCTCCTCTGAGGTTCTCCATTGATCCAATATATCCAGAGGCCAGAAGAGCTCTGTTGCTAAAGACCTTGATTCCCTGAAGCCTTCCAATGGGGGGGGGGCAGAAAGATTGGGATTAATCGACTTAGAAGAGAAAAAGCTTTTTTTGAAGAAGAAGCGTTTCATTACAGCATTAACATATTCAATAACAATTTCCAGAGCAAAGATGCATCTCTCAAAATTGGCTGTAAATGTAAGACCATAGAGTTGGCCCAGATAAACCAATTTATTTTTACTCTTAAGGCCATTTGAGGATCTGTCCTTCAGGGGTCACATGGGCTTGAGAGGAACCTCTCTGGCTCCTTTCTTTTGCCAGTTCCATCTATGTGAAGATAAGTCAAACGTCCTGCTCGACCATGACTTGCTTCGCTTGGAAGCAGGGAGGAAATGTTTTCTCTTTATAGACTGGACACTGGTTTAAGTCCATCTGGTGGGATCTCCATGACCTCCTTGATCAAGAGGACAGTTGACTCACTGCAATTACAGGACATTTTGAGAGATGCTCATAGTCCCCTGGAATTTAGTCCACCTAGAAGGGCAAGGAGCAAAAACTGTCCTTTATGTCCCTCTGACCAAATTTATATAGGCCTCAAAGTATGGCTTTTAAACATCCAAGAAGGTTAGTTCCACCAGTCTTGTACTTTTAATTACTATGTTCCATGTAGATAAATCTTGGGCAAAGACCAAACCTTCTCAGATAAACCTTCCCTAGGTATAGATTACATTCCTTGAGCTAGTTATATGTATAATTTGTCAGTAGGTTGTTCGATTAATATGGTTTCTTCTGATTTTTTTTTAAACTAGCTAGGCATTATTTATCTCCCATATTGTCTAACCCTTCCTCCATGGTTTCCCCATTTAAAGTACCCCCATTTTCCCCATTTCTCCCTTAATAATACCCTTCTCCTGTGGTCCCACCTCTCTTGAGCTCTTTCTTTTCCTTTATCCCCCAGGTTCCTTGTATACCCTTTTCCCCCACCCCCCTTAAAATAACCCCATTTTTATCCATATCTCCCTTACTGAAACCTGTTTCCTACTGTTCTTCTCTTTCATATTCTTTCTTT